ATCGGGTGGCAGCTCCCAAGGGGGTTTCTGTGATCCAACCCGTCACACAGCCTAGGGCATATGATCACGATTTCTTCAAGTGGCCAGCCCCAATCACTACATGAGCATACATATGTGATAGGCATACAGAAGACTTTTCCGTTGACACCTAGATTAGAATTTTTACCTGTAAATGCATCTCTAATGTACGACAAACCGTGAATTTCCATTGCCGAGAGTGGCAGGAGTATCAGAGCTGTTAAAAATTTCACACCCTGTCTGATGTAATTAAGATGACCTAATCCCCAGTGTAGACTCCATGAGGTTGATGGAAGATTTCTTCTGTCAACCTAACTAGCACCTTTGGAGGGGTGGATTTACTGCAGTGACAGAAGAACCCCTTCATCACTGTAGTAAGTGTCTACGCTACAGCTGTGCCGCTGTAGCAGTTTCTAGTGTAGACATCCCCAAACACCTGCCTCAGGGACAGAGGACTTGTAGTGCTGCTACTTATTACAATTCCCAGAGGGATCTCCCACAGCCTTCAGGAATAAAAGCAATGCTTACAAGCAGGGACTTAAGAAATAAACATACAAAAAAAAATTAGTGAAAGGGTCCCGTTCTTTGTTATGGAAGATAGTAGGTGTGACTAAAAGTTTAAACAAAGGTGTAAAGTTGTCAGGCTGGAATTCTACTAGTGACTTCAGCTCACAAATATCAGCCCGGGAAGGGTAAATTCCAGGATGGTGGTTTAGACGTGTTGACACACCATTTACACAATGTCTAAAAATCTCTTAAAAGTAGGTAACAATGAGGCATCATTCTTACATAAGTGTGTACCTGTTCTGAACACATCATCAGGAGCATCTGAAAGAAAAATACAGAGGAAAAGTTTGATAGGGAGAGTGTGGTGGGGGAGAAACTCCTAATGCTAGTCTGCAATCTTGGGGCTAGGGAGAGATGTATATACATCAAGAGCAGGAGTTGGGGAGTGGAGTGTCTTGAGGAACATCTGATTTTGGCACTCAGAGCTGGAAGGATGGTCCAGTGATTAGGGAACTGGCCTGGGACTCATGAGACCTGTGTCCAGTTCCCTGTTCTGCCCCAGACTTCCAGTGTGACCCTTGGGCAAGTCACATAGCCTCTTCGTGCCTCTTCCCTATCTCATAGGGCTGTTGTGAGGATAACTACATTAAAGATTGTCAGATGCTCAAATACTACAGTAACAGGAATCAGTTAAAATCCATCGGCTCATAGCACGTATTTACACAGTAGAGCTGGGGGGAAGTATGCTGGAAAGATCATACACAGATTTGCATGGAACTTCAGTGAGGCTATTTCTACTCTTTCTGCTCAGCAAGTGGCTAAAGGCCAAGTAGTGAGCTCTAATATTCAGAGGACAAGGCCCTTCTGCCAAACAGGACTCCTGAACACAAGTTTAAAACTAGTAAGCTAAAGTAACTACAACTGTTGGCCCCCTTCCTGGGCCCCTCTCATAAGAATCATTTGCAGTAATAAAATTCCTAAGCAGAGTTTCAAGGCTTTTCTAACTGCAAGAGGCACTGTTAGACTGTGAAGGACAAAAGCTAGCTAAAAAAAAAAAATGTCTTGGTTAAATAAGAGGGCAGGAACGGTTAAAAACACGTCTGGCACTAGCTGGGGAAGGGAAAAGTTGGCCAGAGTATTTGGCTCTTAACCCTGCCCCTGCAGAAACTATGGCAGCAAGAAAGAGGCCCTTGTCTGTGGCTCAGAACCTTGGAGTCTGGAAGACTTAGGGCTCCAAGAACCAGGCTGAAGTGCCATCTTCCCCACTTGTTTCAGCCACGTGCCTTCGCTTAAGCTAAGATTAGATGTAATTAGAGACAGGGACTTTTTTCTATGTGCAGCACCTAGCACACTGGGGCCCCCAACCCGGCTGGGACCTCTGTATTACAAATCACTACAAACCGTACAATAGTAACAGCAGCAGAGGACTCTGATAAGGGATGCAGCAACAGTGTGATGATTAGATCTTTATCAAGGAAGGTGAGACTGTAAGAAGGGAGAAGGTGGCTCTAGTGCCATTGATTTAACACCACCAATAGAAACAATTTAGCTGCCTAGGATTATAAACCATAAACTTCTGCAGGCATTGGTAAATAGCCATATTACTGATTGAAAGCCAGTCATTAACTGCATAGTAAAGGCTTGTCTACACAGAGTTGTGCGGCATTAAACTATCCCAGTATAATTAAAATGGTACGACCCCACTAATGGGGACACAGTTACACCAGTAAAAAGGTGTTTATACCAGTATCACTTATTCCCATACAGGAAAGTGGAAAAAGCTACACTGTTATAAGGCACTTTATACCAGATAACTGTCCACACTAGGGCTATGTCTACACTTGCAGAGTTTTTGCGCTGTCAGTTTCAACAGTGATAGTGACCCGGTGAAAGAAAAGCGCTGGTTTGTGTACTCACTTTCACAGGCATCAGAGTGTGTTTACATTTGCAGCACTTCCATCACCAATGAGAGCTGCGCACGGAGGGCAGCTATCCCACAGTATAGCTCTCTCCATTTTGATTATAGGTCTTGTGGGAAGGGGGGGTGTTGTGATCGCGGGGCATCCTGGGTCCCGGCCCAGCCTCCTCTCCCCAAGCACTGATCAGCTCCAGTAGCTCAGCATTGCTCCAAGTAGGGGATGCTCCATGGAGCAGGCATTGTCACCTGGCCAGATAAGTGAGCGCTTCCCAAGAAAACAGGAAGGGGAGTTTCAAAGTTCCCAGGGCTTTACAGGGGGAGGGGTGGATGTCTGTTTACCTGGTGTCAGAGCAGCAGAGCTGCTGGCCAGAGTGGTCACCTAGGCACTGTGGGATATCCCGTGGAGGCTAAAAGCTCTGTAAACAGGAAGAAATGTGTCTTCACTTGCACATCACCGCAGAAGCATCACCAGTAAGAGCTGTATGCCTCTTGCGGAGGTGGTTTTCTTTTTGTGGTGAAAATTTTGAGTTTCACTGCAAAAAGTCATGGGCAGTAGATGCTCCCACAGTTTTTGTGTAAAAAAGGGACTTTTTCCGCTTTAAATGGCAAGTGTAGACGTGCACTAGGGGTTGTACCAGTTCACACTAAGTGAAATAGTTACCCTGGTCCAAAAAATGGTGTGAACCAGGCCTAAGTCACCAAAGAAAGTCGGGCAGGGGTAGGAAACCTATGGCACGCGTGCCAAAGGCGGCACGCGAGCTGATTTTCAATGGCACTCACTGCCTGGGTCCTGGCCACTGGTCCAGGGGGCTCTGCATTTTAATTTAATTTTAAATTAAGCTTCTTAAACATTTTAAAACCCTTATTTACTTTACATACAACAATAGTTTCGTTATATATTATAGACTTATAGAAAGAGACCTTCTAAAAACGTTAAAATGTATTACCGGCACGTGAAACCTTAAATTAGAGTGAATAAATGAAGACTCGGCACACCACTTCTGAAAGGTTGCGACCCCTGGTCTAGGGGGAAAATGTCGAGGCAGCTTTCATAGGAGAAGCTAAGCACCCTCCATGTCATTCATTTAAGGCACAAATAGCAAAGAGGGAAGTGGAAATGGTTAACTGGAATAGAGAAAGTGGTGTCAGACCTCTTAAGCCCTCCCATCCACTCTCTTTTCAAGAGGCAGCAGGGACAGCAGTCTCTTCTATAGGAAAACAAATGTAACTGCAACAGGAGGCAAAAAAGAGGAATCCATCTTAAGACAAAGGAACCATAGTCTGGCTATGTTAGCAGCGCATAGTTTAGCCAAAGCAGTAGGAAGAGCAGATTTAATGGGAGGAACTGGAGCCATGTGCTAGTGACCTTTTGCTGATGTATGAGCATAGGTGCTGGAACTAAGGGTGCTGGGGTGCAGCGGCCTGAAGTGCTTTCCATTATACACGGGGTTTAGTTTGGTTCAATGGCTCTCAGTACCCGCACTATAAAAATTGTTCCAGCACCCCCTGCATATGAGTGAAAGACAATGGCACTATTACACCTTTCTTCTTAAAAAGAACAGAAAGCTTGCCCAAAGGAATGGCTGTTGTATG